TATGTGCTCCTCCTCCCCCTCCTCATATCTTTGCCCACATGTGCATATTTAAATACATATATATACTAAAGCATAATACTATTAAGTATCTACCAAGTCAAATTGGCCATAAATGCATGTATGGTTCTTTAATAAAATATCTACTGTTGAGGGTCATGGGTCATACCCTCTCCCTTCAAACCACAAATGGCTCAAATAGAGGGCCCTAAAAATGCGCTATTGTAGTACCATTAAATTGAGCTACTAACCATAGTAATAGTTGCATTATTGGTGTGTGGAAGAGGGGTAGGAGGAGAGGTACATTAATCACCATGATACTGTATATCCTGCCACTCCCATAACCTGGATGGTGGCCTTCCCACTCATACATGTGTCTATATTAAATACTCCAGATACTTCCTGGGCTGGGGAATATGCCTAGGGCTGGGTATGGATGAGGGACTGTTATTCATATTATTGTTTTCGCATTTTATACAGCTTATGGGGGTTTACAACAGTATATATGTTACATAACTTCATTAATAACTACATACATTGATACTAGCAAAAAAAATGGAGGGAAATGGACCAGCCATGTCTGCTAGAAATCTATATCAAACACTGTATTTTTACAAGGTATGCTTATATGTCAGGACTGTGGTTTTACAGTCCACCTATGGAGAGGGCCTTGCTGGGTGTGCCGGGGCACGCGGCTGTGGGCAGGGCCTGTCAATACAAGCAAACAATGCAGGAAACAATGCCCAAGCATTGTTCCTCGTCGTTTTCAGCGTGCCCGCCACCGTCTTTGATGGGGAAAAAGCACCAACAATGAGGGAACATATTTCCTCATTGTTGTGCACCATTTCCCCCATTGTCAGGGGGCAGGAATGGATGGATTGGGCCAGGTGGGTTTGGATGACACGGCCTGTTTTTGGGGCCTGTGGCTATTTTTAGAGTATAATGTAATAGCAATGACACACCCGTTGTGGTGTTCTTGCCGTCGTCTGTCACGACACCCGATGAGCTCGGGGTATCTTGCAACACACCAAAAAGTAGCAAAAAAAAATCATGTTAAATTGTAATAAAATTTATACATAGTGCAGGTGGCTCTACCAGCCACCCACTATAGAATGAGTAGAAACAACATGTCGTGACACGTCATTTCCACTCTGGTTGTGGTCCCTGCCCTTTGCAGCAAAAAAAAAAGCAAAAAAATCATATTAAATTGTACAAAAAGAAAATACAGGATGCAGGTGGCTAGTAGGGCCACCCCCTATGGAATATAGGTAAAACGAGCAGAAACGGCGCGTCATAGCACGCCGTTTCTGCTCAGGGAGATGGGTACGGTCCGTCCCTGCCTGCCTGCCTGCCTCCTCCGCTGCCTCCTCTGTTCGTGGGGCTCCCTCTGGCCCCTCCTGTGCTTGTTGGGGCCCCCTCTGCTCCCTCCTCTGCTTGTTCGCCCCCTTTGTCACTTGTTGGCCCCTTCGGGTGCTCACTGGGCCTCTTTGGGTGCTCGTGGGGGCTCTTCAGGTGCTTGTGCTCCCCCCCTCCTCGTTCTCCCTCTTCTGCTCGAGCTGCTGGTGATGGGTGCTGAGCAGGAGGCGAAGGGTGGGGGTGACAGGCGAGGGGCAGAGCGAGGGGCAGGGCAAGAGGCGGGGCAAAGGTCAGAACAGCGGGCAAGGGTAAACAAGGGGCAAGGGCAAACGGCGAGCGAGGGCAAGGGCAAGGGCAAGGGCAAGGGCAAGTGCGAGAGGGCAGCATGACGTCCTGTGCCCACCGTCATCATCGTCCTGTGCCCTCCCCCCATTGTTGTCCTGTGCCTGCTGCTGTCGTCCTCCCGTGCCCGCTACTGTTGTCGCCCACTGCTGTTGTCGCCCACTGCTGTTGTCGCCTGCTGCTGTTGTCGCCTGCCGCTGTTGTCGCCTGCTGCTGCCATCGTCGCTGTCCTGTGAATGCAGCCGCTGTCGTCCTGCTGTGCCCCTCGCTGCCGTCGTCCTGCTGTACCCACTGCCATTGTCATCCTCTTGTGTCGCCATCATCCGAGTCGTCCTTGGCCTGGGCCCCCCTGTGGCCGTTCTTGTCGTTCTGTGCCCTGTGTCGTTGTAGGTTGAAGGTGAAGGGTGAGGGGCAAGGGGTGGAGGGCGAAAGGTGAGGGGTGGGGGGTGATGGCGAGAGGGCGACGGAGAGAGGGTGATGGTGAACGCGAGAGGGCAAGAGGCAAAGGGCAAGGGACGGAGGGCAAGAGGCAAAGGGCAAGGGACGGAGGGCGAGAGGCAAAGGGCAAGGGATGGAGAGGCAAAGGGCAAGGGATCGAGGGCAAGGGCAAGGGCAAGGGCAAGAGGGCGAAGGCGAAGGCAAGAGGGCAACATGAGAGGGCAAGAGGCGAAGGGCAAGAGGCGAAGGGCAAGGGATGGAGGGCGAAAGGTGAGGGGAGAGCGAGGGGCAACACCCACATCCCTGTTGAAGGGGAGGGGTGGGTAATGGCAGGGGGCGATGGGCGCGAAAGTTCTAGGCAGCAGGGGGGAGTTACAGCGGATGGGGATGGGGGTGAGCTTGCCAGGGGGGAGTCCTGGCCAGCCCACATCCCTATGGCAGGGAAGGGGCACGAGAGGCAAAGAAAATGAACGTTGACTTAAAGTCGATGTTCGTTAACCTAATTTGAATAAAAAATGCATGTTAGAGTATATAGTTGTAAAGAAAAACATACTGCTCACCTTTTTGTCAGCCCTGGGGGGTCATTTGAGGTGTTGGACTGAGAGGGTGAGTGCCAGGTGGTGGTCGAAGCTGAGATCAACGATGATTGATGACCAATGTCGTTGATTGCTTATCCGGCGAACGCTGTGAGCAATTTGATTGGCTAACATTGGTGGTCCAGGCAGCCCACGTTCTGCTCATCAACCTCGGAAGAGCCAATACGTATGAGATACGAGGAAATCCTTTCAATTAATGTTCGGTAATTAATTACACTACTTTACTCTATGTATTTATAAAGGTCCGAATATTATCTGAGAGAGTGAACGAGCTAAAAGCTCCAGTTACCGTTCCTGCGTGGTGATTTATGTCTTTTTGATGTTCCAACCTCTCGAATACCACTTGTTCAACAAGGTGAAACATCATACTAACCATGCATTTGAGATCCTTGGGTAAGTACACTGTGGGAAGCCGAGCCGGGGAAATACCTGCTTCGGGGAGTCCTGCCCCAAAAAGGCAGGGAATTCCGGGGATTTTCAGTAGCCGGTAAATAAGTTGTATCTAAAAATACATGAAATTCCCTGCTTTCGGTCGTCCTGCCTCCAAAAGGCAGGTATTTCCGGTGTTTTCCGGCGACCAGGAATTAACCCATATCCAAAAATACCAAAAATCTCCTGGTATGGGTCCAACTGTCTATTTCCCTGCTACGGAGGGCAGGTAAAATCCTGGGTTATGGCTTCTTTCGGTGAATCGCCTGCCTATGCCCTACGAGATAGTCATTCTGGCACTTAGCTATCTCCGCAAATAAAATCCAGCTAAAATAATGGAATTTATTGCTGCTCTAACACCATCTTGCCTTCCATAGTTATTCCCTCCAACTGTCCTCATCCTCATGTCGAGAATCGAAAAAATAGCTCAATGATACACCAAAAATATGCCTACGTTCACAACCTTCAAGCTTTGTATATGCGCTGTAATACACCTTGTCATTTGCCATGGGTGATACCTTTGTGTGTTGACAAGCTCCCTCCCATCATGTTGTCATGTTGATGGTGGTGGAGCAGTCCTAGGACAGAGGGGCAGTGGAACGATAGAGAGAAGGTGGGTAAGTTGAGGTTGCAGTTGAGTCCGATGTGGGCAAATGGCATGATTAGCTTGTAGTTTTCTTGTGAAAAGATGGGCCTAATCACCTCTGCAAAACCCTTCGCTCGCGCCGTTGTCTGCCAGTCGTCAAGCCACGCTTGGCCATTGTTGTCAGGGTAGCGTGAAGGAGTTCATGTAGCTGGTCCTGCAAGAGCAGGTGGCATTTGTCAATGCGAGACCGTTGGTCATCGTTGAGCTGCACCTGGTTGAACAGCTCATTGGGGTATGAGTCCAGGCACCGAATACGACTCTGGAATTGTGACACTTTGATTAGCTACTTGCAGATACACACAGAGGAGAAGAGTACACACCGGCACCGGCGAATGGGCAGCATCGGCGGTGGTAGCGCAAACCTGGAAAGCTTGGCATGCCGACAAGGGACAGCGGACTTGGGGGTCAGTTCGACTAGTGTTTGGCATCGTCTTGTTTGTTCCAATAGGTGTCCAAACAAAGTGAGGTTTTCTTCCCCACTTTGTTTGGACACCTATCAGAACAAACAAGATGATGCCAAACAACATTGAGCACGTGACACTATGCATCCCATTTTGAGCCGCAACGTGTCCTCCACAGCTTGCACCCCAACCACCCCCTCCCCACGCCTGATCTTCTATCTGTGGGCACAGATGGCCGTATAACTACCTCAAAACTAGATGGAATACCCAAACGAACTAATTCCGCCCTCCGATCTGGCCGATCACGAATCGGATCGCCGCTGGAGCCTGAGCGCGTCTAGAAGTGATACTGGTGCTGTAAGTATGGCCTCTTATTCAATATATGCGTTCATTTATGCTCATATTTTGGATTCCCATGGCCTGGAGTCTACTCATCCATGACTTGTCCACTGTGGCCCCATCTCTGGCAAGTTGAAGCTACTCTTGAGTACCAGCCCTCTCTAACTTTCAGTGCAGCATCATCGGCATATGCACAACTGGCAGGGATGGCTCCTGAAGCTGTAGGGCACATGCGTGGTATAGAAACCACATCGAAAGCGAAGGTGGTTATAGACAGCACCAGGCAAAGGTAAGCTCACCTTTGGTTTTGCTGTTATGTACTCACTCACAGTGTTATTCCTGCGAAGACCAGTTGCGAGAAGGAGCAAATGATACCATGGGTGGCTCTTGTGAGGCAGGTACGTTGTTCCTGAGCTCATCAACTTTTGAGAGTGCATTTTGTTGACGCGTCTACAGGATTCAAAATCTGTTCGTGTGCTTGGTTTGACATCGCAAATATTGCTAACCTGCACCACAGCCCAAAACTTGGCATCTATGTTGTTGACGAAGGAGGTGTCAAGGTACGCACCCTCTGTCGCCCCCTTGTGTTGGTACTGATTTGATCAGTAATTTGTACCAACATCTAGTGCGTGCTCACGCTCCCATTACACTCGGTGAGGGGCGCCGGGTTTCTTTGCATTGGAAGATCGCAGGAGGACCCCCGTTTATCAAGAGCTCTATAGGGACCGCCAGTGCTCCATAGAGCCACTGCGAGCAGAGGATCACGACGGCCTACGTACTGGCTTGTCCGGTACATCTATGCCTTCAATTGACTCTCACCGCACTGATTCCTTATCAACCATAGTCGTGGCAAATGTGGAATCCCTAGTGATAGTATGTTTCATTCTGCTGCTTCTTGCTGTACACAAATGCTGACCCGACGTCGTCCAGACCTTTCTCAAGCTCAGAAACACCAGTTATGTCATCCACAGCTGCTAGGTATGAATTAATTGTTGTCCCATTCAATAAATCACTCGTCATGTGCCCCGCTTTCCCCAGGCCTTTGACGAATAGAGCGGTTCGCTGCGAGCTCGACACAGGTGCGACGGAACTCAGCAGTCAGTGGGGAGCCTCAGATACTATGTACAGATGTAATATTTAACTACAAATACAACTGCTTTGAGCTCCAGGACTATGACTGCCTATGAGGCCGATGAAAATAGCAGCAGGGTGTAGGCGCCCAAAATGCCTGCCTGACTGCCACGAAAAAATATGCAATAGGCGCCGAAATTTGGGGTTTTTGCCACGTGTTTCCACTTTTTTTCGGTGCCTGAAACCCCTAATACTCCGGTTGTATTGCAGGTTAAAACAAGGCTAAAACAGGCGGTAGTTTACGGTGCATACAAGATACCGTAGATATCAGTGCTATTCCGACGTGGGTTTTTTAGGAGTGTCGGCTGCCCACAGTGAGTAAGTACATCATATAAAAAATTTAGCCTGAATTTACCATGTAAATCCTATGATACAAGCCGGTGTCTGATATATGACACATCCATGAGTTGATTTGACTATGGAATCCACCCCGTTGTTTGCAGTTTCTTAGTTTACATCCAAAAATTACTAAGTTGGCTGGGGGAGCTCCATTCCTCAATACTATCATAATTAGCCAGTCTGTACATTATTTTTACATATTTATTTCATTTCTTCTGCCTCTTGAAATCTACATACAGAGGAGAGACTCCCCTAATTGGCTTGAGCCTGAGATGAATTGACTCATAAAATATTTAAATCTTGTTTTATTTCATTAAGATCACATACATAGATGCACTTATATACTAATAACGATTTCCGAAAGTTTGAATAGAGATACGACACGTTCTGCATCCATTGGAGACGTTCCATTGGTCGACAACAGAACGGAAACGGGATCGGGCCGATGATCCCAACTAATGGGATGGGCAGCCAAATCCCACCGAACCGTGATCAACGTCGTTGATCTTGGTTCTTTTCCACCACCTCCCTCACCCACTATGAAGCCGCCCCAAAACACAAAAAAAAGGTAAATATGTATCTTTCTTATGTACACACATCCCTACTAACCAACCTCTGCCCTCACAGAACCCCATCCACACCAATGACGACCTGCCAAAGCTGCCCCTCCCCTTGCGACCGGGATGTGGGCTCGGGCCCCTTCCTGCCCCCTGCCCGCCACCGCCTGCTTGCCCACCACTGCCCACCTACCATTGCCCCCTCGCCCAGTCAGAGGATGGCGACGGGGGGACAGAACAACAACGGCAGGGACAGGATGACAATGATGACAGTGGGGGCATGACAACGACAACAACAGCGGGTGCAGGACAATAGCGACAACAGCGGGCACAGGACAACGACAATGGTGGTGGCAGACAGCAGGGTATGACGACGACAACGGGGGCAGGACGACGGTGGCGGCGGTGGCATCCTTCACCCCCACCCTCACCCCTCGTTCACTCCCCCCATCCTCTGCCTCACCCTCTCATCCTCTGCCTCACCCTCTCGTCCTCTGCCCTGCCTTCTCACCCACCTTGCCCTCTCAGCCCTCTCGCCCTATCGCCCCTCTCATCCTCTCGCCCTATCGCCCACCTCGCCCTATTGCCCACCTCGCCCTATCATCCCTCTTGTCCTCTCACCCTATCGCCCACCTCGCCCTCTCAGCCCTCTCGCCCTATCGCCCCTCTCGTCCTCTCGCCCTATCACCCACCTTGCCCTATCGCCCACCTTGCCCTCTCGCCCACCTTGCCCTATCACCCACCTCCTGCCTCGGCCTCTCCCCACCTCACCTCTTCCCTGCCGTCTCGCCGGCCTTGCCCTCTCACCCGCCTCGCCGTGTCGCCTGCCTCGCCCTCTGCCCCGCCTTCTCCCCCCTCGTCTGCCCCTCGTCTGCCCCTCTCCCCCCTCGCCCGTTCGCCCTCGCCTCCATCTCCTTGCCCTTCACCTCTCGCTCTCCACCACTCGCCCCCTCGCCCCCTTGAGGGGACCCTCCGATCCTCCAACCCTCCAACCAGCGAACGACCAGTGGAGGGCGCAAACGAGCACCCGAAGGGACCCAACGAGTGACAAAGGGCCCAAAACGAGCAGGGGAGGGGCAGATGGGAGCGGATGGAGAGTGTGGAAGGGGCAGAGGATCCCCAACCGACCCCAACGAGCATGGCAGGGGGTGGAGGGGCCCCCAACCAACCCCAACCA